CCCCAAAACCCCAAAACCCCAAAACCCCAAAACCCCAAAACCCCAAAACCCCTAAGGATCATTAAATGATTGAAAGTTAGAGAACTTACTATCTTTACTTCCATTCTCTCTTATAGCCCTCATCAACTCCCATAGAATATCCTTCACCACCTTTAGCAGACTTTGGCCTTTTCTCCATCCTAGTTTTAGGAATTTTGAGGCCTAATTTGACTCTCTTCTTACTGCCTTTGGCTTTTCCAGTGAAATTTCTCCAATCTTTGGCTCTTTTATCTCTGCCATCTTCCCACTCTCTTTCAACTTCTTTTTCAACTTCTCTTGCTATCTTCCTTTTCTCCATGTCTTTGTGCATCCTTCTTCTTTTGATGGTTTCTACTCTTTCAAAGTATCTTTGATTGTCTTCGATCTGATCAAATAATTTTTGGCACCTATAAGAGGGTAAGCAGGTAAACTTACATTGCTTGCACATCAATATTGAAAGTATCATCTGGTAATGGAGCCTTGCCTTCTTTTCTTCTCTTCTTATTCTCTCTATCTCTTTCGATTTCGACTCTTTCACGGGCTTCTCTCATGATTCTTTGGTAGAGTCTCTTCTTGTCAGGATCCATGAGAATTTTGTAAGCTTTCTCGACCTCACTGAAAGCATCTGCTGCCCTCTCGTGTTTGCATTTATCTGGATGAAGTTTTCTTGAAAGGTCTCTGAATCTTTTCTTAATCTCCACTTCATTTGCTTCCAGTGCTATTTCAAGGACATCGTATGGATTTACATAATTTTCATTCAGAAGACGTTGTAGATGATACTCCTGAGAATCCTTCTCAACTGGCTTATTGGTGTTCTCCATATTAGCCAGAAATTTTTTTAGCTCAGCTTGCTTCGCTTCCAACTCTTTGAGGGTATCTGCTGGGTTAATAATAGCTGCCTCTTTCTTGAGTTCTTCGCTCATTGTCTTATTTATTTTAATAATTCCAATTTTTTAAAACCTAAAGGGGTTTTGGGGTTTTGGGGTTTTGGGGTTTTGGGG